GACCATTCTTTTTCACCATTCACCAAAATAAACTCAAAATGGATTAAAGACCTAAAGGTGAGACCTGAAACCATAAGGCTTCTGGAAGAAAATGTAGGCAGTACACTCTTTGACATCAGTATTAAAAGGATCTTTTCGGACACTATGCCTTCTCAGAGAAGGGAAACAATAGAAAGAATAAACAAATGGGACTTCATCAGATTAAAGAGCTTCTTCAAGGCAAATGAAAACAGGATTGAAACAAAAAAACAACCCACTAACTGGGAAAAAATATTTGCAAGTCATATATCTGACAAAGGCTTAATATCCATAATATATAAAGAACTCTTGCAACTCAACAACAAAACATCAAACAACCCAATCAAAAAACGGGCTGGAGACATGAACAGACATTTCTCCAAAGAAGATGGCCAATAGGCACATGAAAAGATGCTCATCATCGCTGATCATCAGGGAAATGCAAATCAAAACTACACTAAGATATCACCTTACACCTGTTAGAATGACAAAAATATCTAAAACTAATAGTAACAAATGTTGGAGAGGTTGTGGAGAAAAAGGAACCCTCATACACTGCTGGTGGGAATGCAAACTGGTGCAGCCACTATGGAAAACAGTATGGAGATTCCTCAAAAAATTAAAAATAGAACTACCATACGATCCAGCTATCCCCCTAGTGGGTATTTATCCAAAGAGCTTGAAGTCAGCAATCCCAAAAGTCCTATGCACTCCAATGTTTATTGCAGCACTGTTTACAATAGCCAAGACGTGGAAGCAACCTAAGTGTCCAGCAACAGACGAATGGATAAAGAAGATGTGGTACATATATACAATGGAATACTACTCAGCTGCAAAACAGAACAAAATCATTCCATTTGCAATAACATGGATGGACCTTGAGAGAATTATGTTAAGTGAAATAAGCCAGCGAGAGAAAGATAATCTGTGTATGACTACACTCATATGAGGAATTTAAAATTATGGACTAAGAACAGATTAGTGGATACCAGGAGAAAGGGGGCTGGGGGGTGGGCACAAAGGGCGAAGTGGTGCACCTACAACATAACTGACAAACATTAATGTACAATCGAAATTTCACAAGATTGTAACCTATCAATAACTCAATTAAAAAAAAAATAAGCACAAATTAGAATTCAAATACGTAGCTGTTTACTTCCTTGGTGCCAGATACATACATGGACAATCTTAAGTTTAATCAAATGCTGGAAGAAACTTCTAATTAGCCAGATTATTGTCAACAAATTTATATTGTCTCCATTGGGCCTCAGCAAGGCTCAACATCCCTTCTAACTTTCCTAGTCATCTTTCTCTTCACACTCCTATTATTCCAACTCCTGCCCCATTTCTCCTAGCAGAAAATTTCATTCAAATATCCATTCATTCAACAAATATCTACTGAGACTTTACCACATTCCAAGTACTTGGTATACAGCAATGACCAAAAAGAAAGTCATTGTTCTCAAGGCCCTTATATTCTAGAAATAAATATTTAAATTCAAGAAGTGATAAGTACTATACAGGAAAAGCAAGCAGGTAAAAGGACAAAGAGTGATATAGGGGGGATAAACATATGCTACTTTAGTTTGGGAGTTAGGAAAGGCCTCTCTGATAAGGTGACTCATCAGCAGAGACCTAAATGGAGTGAGCAGTAAGCCAACTAGATATCCAGACTAGAGGAAGGGCAGTCCAGACAGAGAGAGCAGTAAGTGCGAAGGTTCCAAGGTAGGAGTGTACTTGGTGTGTCTGAGGAAGAGAAGGAGGCCTGTGGCTGGTGTGAAGTGAACAAGGGCAAGAAAGGGAAGGACTCGCCAAAGAGAGAGGCTGGCAAAAGATCATATTGGGTCTTAAAACAAGGATAAGACTTTGGTTTTTAAAAATTCTAAGCAAGACTGAAAGATGATGAAGGTTTCTGAGCAGAGGCATGGTAAGATCTAACTTAAGCTTGAAAATATTTACTCTGGCCTCTGTATAAAGAATATAGACTAGAGATTGGGGTGAGGAACAAAAGTGGAAGCAAGGAGATTAGTCTGGAGACATTACAATAGCCCAAGCAAGAGATGATAGTGGCTTAGACCAAAGTAATAAAGGTAGAAGTGGTAAAAAGTAGCCATATTCTGGATATATTTTGAAGGTAGAATCATTAGGATTTGCTGATGGATTGAATATGGAGTATGAGTTAGAGAGGGAAAAATCAAGGATGACACCACTTTGGGCCCAAGCAAGTAAAAGAAGAGAACTGTCATTTCCTCCCGTTCTCCACTAAAAGGAACTAGGGATTCATAGAGAAATGGCTCCATCCAAAGCTAGAACAATAAGAGCCTAGAACATATTGCTGTGGCCAAAAGTAAATAAGAATGATGGAATAAACAAATATTGAGTCATTATGTTACACACCTAGAACTAATATAATGTTATACACCAATTATATCTCAATAAAAAAAAATCACCAAATAAGTTGAATAAATTGGACAAAGTCACACATACAAAAAAAAGTCAAAGGTGAGGTAGGGATTAAAATTACAATAAACGTTCTCAATCTCTGGCTATGAAGGAAAAAAAAAAGGAATAAGAGAGATGTCAAAATGACACAGGGGCTGGCTTGAAGAAACTCCCCCTGCCCAAATCTGGAACAATTTGAGCATCAAAATAAATAATAATAGCTACAAATTATAACTCATAAAATAGAATCTACAAGTCTAAACAAAATGAGTAAACAAATGGGAAGAAGAAAAAGCTCTTCCTTCCAGAATGCCAATTAATAAACGTAAAAGAAATGATGGAATTAGAAAATCATCTGTTTAGCAGCCAACAAAGTAACAGTTTCAGGCAAGAATCACCACTGGATGCCAAATCTAATCAGTAAAAGTTTGATGAGAAACAGGATATTTACATGGTCTCAAAGCGTATTGTCACAAGATACTTAATAATTTTATAGAGAAGAAACATGGCAGAATACTACCTTAACCAAGTGATCAAAGTTAAAATCACTTGTAATGGAACAAATAAATACTACATGCCTCCTGATATAATGCACTGAGGAAGACACAACACCTCTGTGTTATTTCTGCCAAAAGTGTATCACCTAAATCTAAACATGATGAAATATAAAACAAGCTCAAAGTGTGGACATTCAGTGAAATTAATGACCTGCACTCTTCAAAAGTATCAAGGTCATGAAAGTTAAAGACTAAGGAACGTTCCAGATTAAAGGGTACTAAAGGACGTGACAACTAAATGAAACACACGATCCTAGACTGGATAGTGGACCAGAACAAGTGTTTTTCTTTTGTTATAAAAATGTTAGTGGTACAGCTGGTAAAACATGAATACAATCTCTAGATTAGATAATATACTTTGTGTTAAATTCTTGATTTGATGATCATACTCTCATCATGTACAAGAATGTTCTTGTTTTTAGGAAATACACACAAAAAAGTAGGAATAAAGGGGTATTAGCATTATGTCTGCAACTTTCTCAGAAAAAAAAGTGCTTCAAAAAAGGAAGAACTAACTACTCCGAGCTCCTTTGAATCTCCACTGAACTCCATGTAAATTTCTACCATAGTACCTACAATACTTTTGTTTTACTTATTGGTAGAGAATGAAATATGCCTTCAGATATTAAGCCCAAAGCAGAAGTTAGTAAACGACAGACCAACACTTGAACCTAGATCCATCCGACTCACTGCCAATACTCTGTTAAATTGTAAGATGATAGACTGCTGAGAAAATGTTAGCTGTTTATAGTGTTGTTTTTATTTTTCAAAAATACTCACATGATCTATATAAACAATCTATTCACCAACGGGTCTCTTAATCCAGAGTTTCACCTACACAACAGGAATCTCCAGCACCAGCCTTATCAATTCTTATTTTCAAGGTAAAAGAGAGAACTCGACTTGGCTTACATAGTGAGTTGGTGGCAAAGAAGGAAAAGACAAAAGGCAAATGAACACAGTCTGCAAGAGCCTTTGTGATCGAGCTCCTGCACTTTTCCAATCTCATCGCTTGCCATTATCTACACCCTATGTTCTCTATGTTTTCCACCATTTTCAAGTCTTTGCACTTCTGTTCCTTCTGATTACACAGGACCCCATTTCTCGTCATCCTGAGAAACTCCTACATATTCTTTAAGACCAGCTCAAATAGTATTTCCCCTCAATGAATCTTCCTCTGACCTCCCCAGGCAGAGAGAGATGCTTGACCCTATTCTCCCAAAATACCATGTATTATATAATTAAACTTTTCACATTAATGAAATTATTTATGACTAGTCTCTCTTAGACTATACTTGAGAGAAGGAATCCTGTCATTCACTTTGGCATCTCCAGCATCTGGCACATTAAGTAGGTTCTTTGTCTATACATTTATATCTTGCTATGTGTCACAAAGGATTAAGGTAGAAGCATTTAATAATTATTTCTTGAATTAATGAATATGGGTGTTTCATCACTCAAGAGAAACTTGGTTTTTGTTTGTTGCTTGGCTGGTCAAATCCCAAACTCTTCTTCATACATGTGACAGAAAATAAATAAACGAAGCTCATTTAACAGAGATAGTCAAAGCAATGTGTTTATCTACAAAACCAAAGCAGTCATCATGGGTTTGAAAGGAACACCTTAACTAGAACTATGTATATGCACAACTGTGTCTATTCACAGATCAGACGGATAAATAAATTGCTGTTACTGCCTTACCCACAATACAGTCATGCACTGCATAACGATGTTTTGGTCAATGACTAATTATATATTAGATGGTGGTCCCATAAGATTAGTACCATATAGCCTAGATGTGTAATAGGCTATACCATCTAGGTTTCTGTAAGCACAGCCTATGATGTTCACACAATGAAAGTGCCTAACGACACATTTCTCAGAATGTATTCCCGTCATTAAACGACATGTGACTGTAGAATTACTCCTGTTTCTCATCCATGAACAAACTGTTGATTGCACAATGTGAATATCCGACTGTACCTGCAGTGCTTGTTCCTGGATATCACGAAACAACTCCATATCTTTCTCAGTCATGATTTCCTGGCTCCCAAAAAGCCGTTCCTCACTTTCTTGTTTGCCATCCCAGCCATCCTGATTGTCTGCACATAAAGAAAGGGCTCACACGTTATTAATGCTATCCTTAGTTTAACACACAAACTAGAAAAAATTTCAGACGTTTTTATTTCAGTTTGAAGACCTTAATATTATTTATGTAACAGAGAGGACGACAACACTAAACTGCCTCCTAGAAAGAGCACCAGTCAATAAAGAATACGAACACATCATATCTGCCTCATAACGAAAAGCTTTAATTGTCTTAAAGCTTTTTAAAATATTACATAACTAAATTTAAACTTCATTAAAAGAGATTACATTTTAGTATATTACAATACATACAAAAGCAGAACAGGAAAAAGGTCTAAGGAGTATGAAATTTATTTTGAAACAGTATGGCTATAACACTTTTAGTACGAGTTTAACATGTCAACATTCAAATTCTTGGGTAGTGTGGAAGAAGTTTACGTTATAGGAAGACATAATTTTCATCACTTGGGAGCAAAATAGGAAAAATTTGCTCCTTTTAAAATTCTTGATGATCCTGCAATCTTCATAAGGCCAACACACTCTTATCTCAGCAAAAAGATAACCTTCATATTAGCTACCTTAACTGACGTCAAGAAGTAACAACTCCCCTCACATTCTGGGTGCCCTTTTAAAGCACAAACTCCACAAACCTGAGGATCACAGATGATAATCCTCTGGGTGAGTATGAGAAATTATAATAATCATCCACTAAATGATGCATCTTCCTCAAATGGGCAAAGAAATTAGTGAAAGGAGTATTGGGGGATTATGTAGATCATTATCCTTTGCATTTGAAGATGACACTGCTGATGGACTCACTTCCTCTTTGTATGAGTGTGGCTGAAAAGACCAATTAGTGACAGACAGTTCTTTTCAAATCAACCGCATATATAGGCTGTCTGTTATTCATTTAGTATAAGAAGAAAAAGGATAAGGACTCGTTGACAATATTCTCAAACTGAAAAATAAATACATATACTCTAAAGACACCATGTGACTTTAATGCCCCCTAGTGCATAACACAGACAGATGCAAGCACAGATCTAGCACAGCATTCAATGGCATTGTATCAGATGGTGCAGACTTGCTTAAACTCTACAATTCATAAAGAATATGATAAAGCCAATTAAAGCAAAAGCTCTCATCAATGCCTACAGCTCAATATTGGTTCTCCATATACTTTATACATCTGCCCCAATAATTTCTATTTCTAAAACTTTGCAGTAGATTCTTCTAATAATCCATCTCCTGTGAAATGGTTAATTCAAAAATGTCTTTCATTAGAATCTGCTTTATGAGATTCTTTCCTTCTAAGTCCAGCCTAAATGGCTTGCATATTTTCTTAGATAAACATGCTCAGATTGAAGCTTATCTACAGTCTACATAGCTGATAAAGACATGAAAAGTACTTCAATGCTTAAAGAGTAATTAGTTGATTGCCACTCTAGGAAAAAGTCAGTCAATACAGCATAAAAACGGGGACCTGACAATGATGAGGATTTTCTTGCTTGCACTGGACCAATCAACCGTTTATATAAGCAGGAATGACGGAACAGTGAATACAAAAACCAACAGAACATTCAAGGGAAGGAAATCAAAGTTAAAAATTCTCTTGTAGTATACGAGACACACCATACCTTTGGCTCATGTGATCTAAGATTCCATTCTTCTTCTTCTATTTTCCTTCTACTTTCCTAAGAGCCCTTTCTACTTCCTATACAAGGTTAGGTTCTCTAAACTCAAGGCACTCAACAGCAGAGACTAGTTTAAGCTTTAATTATCTGGACAGCTAAGCCAAGTTTCCTCCTCTGACTTGAATTATGTGCCACACTATAAAGTCTTCTTCACAGATGTTTTCCACTTTGAAAACTAGGCAAGTTAACCTGACACACAAGCAAATGGCCTGGAGCTATTGTTCTCTCTTTCCCTCTTTTTAAGTGTGATCCACGAACAATTGCAACTACGTTTCCCAAGATTTGAAGTAGAAAAATCAATGTTACCTTACCATGTTTGCACATATTTTGGTCTTTTCCTTATGCTTAGATCAGCAGCATTTTATCCACCCATACTCTTTCGAATTTCCTTCTGGGAATAAAGTAAGCATCAGGATGCTCATCACATGATTTATTTTGTAATTTAGGAAATGTAAAGTTATCCTTCATTCAAGGTCATAGTCCAAATTTCTACAGGCAGATTCTTTGTGGTTCTAAGAGCTTCTATTTGTCTGCTCTGCAACTTTATCCCTAGCCTCTAAACTCCTGCCATAGTTATCACTTTAGTATCATCTAAATAAGCATGTTTAATATGTTCTTATATTCCATAACCAATTTTTAATAATCAAATATAAATCTATTCAAGATAACTAGTGTCATTCCAAATAACACGCTTTTGGAATACTTTTTCTTTCTAACTGAACAAACTTTTACCTGTGGGCCAGTCTGAAGTGCTTGATTTTCTGTTGCCCTTTTTCCTGATTCTGTATTGCTCAGAGTAGTCTACCACCTCCCCTCGAGGCTTCCGCCCATCAGGGGAAGGGGTAAAGAATTTGGTAAGGCCATCAATGAGCCCTTTGGTTTTCTTGTTGAACTTCAAGGGGACATTGCTATCTCTGCAGAAGTCCAAGCCATCTATTCGCTCTAAATATCCTTCTTCTGATGACGATGCTGATTGGCTGGAGAGAGTGATTTTACGTTTCCGACCCCTTCCAGGGCCAGTTCGAACTTTGCTGAAGGGACCTTTTGATCTAAAGAATCAAACAGGGAAAAGGGTAACTATTAAAAAGAAATCTTTATAAGGTTTCCATTTAATATGTAACACATAATAAGTAAATAACACAGCTTTATAATAAAAATCTGTATGGTTAAGAATATTCCATAAACTATATTATATAAATCAGAAGTAGCATTATTATTAGAAACATCTATTTCTTGGAAGCCTAGTTATTTTACAGTGAAAAGAATCCTAGGTCAGGAGTCAGAAGGCATGTTTGAGTGATAATTTTACCACTTACTAGCTGTACATCTTGGACAAATCCCATTCTCTCTAAACATCAGTGTCTTCATCTGTAAAATGAGAGGTAGACCAGAGGACAACTACCACCCTTCCAGGTAGAAGGTCCTATGACCTCTGCACCAGCTCAAAGTTATGCCTTTACCTCTAAACCCAAGGACAGGTTACTCTCTGAAAGTCAGGAATCAAAAGATCATTTTATGGGAGAATTAAACCTTGATTTAAGATTTAAAATATGAACTACAATACTGGTTCTGTACATTTCAACCCGCAAATGCCCATTCACTTCAGTTATATCACTTTTAAGACAGTCTTAAGTGTAGAAAAAGGTGGGTAAAATTTTTGAGAATAAAGAGAGGTTCACAGGCCTAGAGGTATTTTACATCATCAAAGGTGAATTACTAGAGATACTCAAAAAAAAGACAATTAGTGACTGAATCTTGCCCCACCTCCTCCAGACATAGCCCAGTTTCCTAGTCCATAAGGGATAATTATATCCCTGATTTCTGCTAATAGATGAAAAGCTTACATTATTTTACATCAGGACACAGAAACAGGACTTAGCTGTGACCTCAATAGAAGAAGCTATTCAGTGATTTGTACACCTAATAAAAATAAAACTACCAAGACTACATCAGGAGAAGAATCTGTGAAATGCTACAATAACATAATTTTTTCGTTCTTGTTTTTCATGTAAGAGAAGCAATATAAGGCAATGGTTAAGAGCCAGACTTTGGTGCCAGACTACTTGGATTTTAATCCCAATTCAACACTTATTACAAACTTACACAAGTTAATCACTATCCTGTAGTTTCCTCCTTTGAAAAATGAGAGTAATAAGAGCACCTATTTCAGTGGGTTGTTGGGAGAACTAAATGATTTAACATGAGTAAAGCACTTAGAACAGTGCCTTGGTACTTTATTAAAGGGCTCAATAGGTGTTAGCCATTATTACTACATAAAAGTGCGAGTTCTATGAATTGAAACTTTTTCATAAAGCAAACAAGTGAATCCTACACTATAGAGAAGACCCTATCCTTTTCTCCCCTCACCTTGCCACAAGTACAACTTACACCGTGTTTTGTTTCTTTAACCTGTTTTTTGGACGTCCTATTGGATTAGCATAGCGCCGTTTTATCTGTGCCGCCTTCTTCTGTAGCAGTTTTCGTCCTTTTTTCCTAGGTCGACATATTTGACATATCCACATGCCTATTAAGAAAGAAAATTCCACATAACAGCACAATAGATATAAATACACTGACAGTGTTCAGATACTCTAAGCCAGGAGTTGTTAACTTCTTTCGGGTCAAGGACTCTCATTAGGAATCTGATGAAAGCCCCCCAGAAAAATAAACACAAAAGTAAATACACACAAAATTCTACAAACAATTGGCAGAGATTCACAAGTATTCTGAAGGCCACATTGAAGTCCACTGATCCTCAGTTAAAAATCCCTGTTCTGGATCTAGCACTCAGATATTGGTTTCTAATTACCATCCTACAAGAAAAGAAGCCAAGATTCCATAGAGTAATGGCTCATTCCAGGAGTACAGTAGGAAAAATACAACGAATATCTTGTGGTGCCAGAAAATGAAGTGCTCAAAAGATGATGCAGGCATGTCAAAAGGACACTGTAGCCAACCTGAAAGAGCTCCCAATAGCCAAATCTGGGTCAATCTGAGAAAAAACAGAAATAATCACAGCAATAGCTTATAATCCATAGAATAAAATAAACATCCATGAGTCCACAGTGCTATAAATAATTGAATAAACAAATAAATAAATGGGAGAAAGGGACGGCTCTTCCTTACAGCAGAATTTCAATTAATGAACATAAAAGGAATGATGGAAATACAAAGATCATCATTATGCAAACACCACAGTAAAAACTGGTGAAGCAAGAATCAATGATGGATGCTAAAATTAGTGGGCAAAGCAGAAAAAGAATAACTTTACAATGTCGATCAGATTTCTCCACTGTAATCAAGTGATCAAAGTTAACAATACTAGTAATAAGACATACCAGTGTAATATATCCCTGTTATGATGCACTAAGAAAGGGCACAACATCACTTCCGTGGTATTCTTGTCAAACTTCATGATAATCTAATCATGATAAAGCAAAAGACAAACTCAAATTGAAGGACTTTCTACAAAATAACTTACTAGTACTCTTCAAAAGTGTCAAGGGCAAGAAAGACAAAGTCCGAAGAATTAACACAGACTGGAAGAGACTGGAGAAATATGACAACTAAATGTAATGTGAGATCCTGGATTGGACTCTGGACCAGAAATTCAAATAAAGTCTGTCTGTTAATGTACCATATCAATGTTAGTTTCCTGGTTTCAATAATTGTATTATGGTTTCCTAAGATGTTAACATTAAGGCAAGTTGGGTAAAGGGTACAATGGGAATTCTCTGTACTGTTTTTAACCATTTTTCTCTAAGTCTGAAATTATTTCAAAATAAAATGTTTCCTGCTTTAAGCTGCTATAAAACTTTTTTGTAGGCATTCAACACACAGGAATGAAGTCCTAAGAAAATCTTTCTTATCTTGAAAGATTCTCAGAAGGCCTTTTGTCCAGATTTCAAGTAAATGGAAGAGGTAGGAAAGGGGAGTACTTATTCTTCCAATATATATAAAATGTAAGACTTTTCAATCAATAGAGTGGCGTAAGATGTACTCAAAATAAATTTCTAAGGTGGAATAAGTTGGCTACACCTAAATGTAAGTCCCTTTCCATCAAAAGGAAAATTTCTCCAGACATCAAATATCCTATAAGCATTTTACTTACGAAACCTATAAATCAGAAAATCAGAGTTGAAAATGGAATTTGTGTTAAGACAAAGCAGAGGAGACTAACTGGATTCTTTTTTTTTAAGAAACTAGAAGTATATGATAAGATGGAAGTCTAATCCACTGGCAATTACATCTCAACTAAATACCTTTCAAGAAACAGGAGTCAAAAGAAGAGAAGAACATTAAGCTGTATTCTTATGATTTGGGCACTTATTTGTTTGGAAATTATAAAAAGTGTTTTGGTTTTTTTTTAAGTTTTGAATAAACCAGAGACTCTCAAACCCTAGGCCCCTCAAGTGATGAGCAGTGATGTAATCAACATGACCTAATACAATTTCATTTTTTTCCTGTAAAGAAAGAGATACTTCAAAATATTACATAAGGCAAGTATTTCATCCTCTAGCTATAGGACTGGCAAATATTTATAAATGAACCACTTCACCTTCCATGGACGCTTAAATATTGAAAATAGAGAGAAATAGTAATAAATCCATACTACATAAGAATGTTAGGATGACTAAACAGACTATCCCCATCTTTAAGGTGACAGCTCTCTTCCTACTTATACAATCCCAAAGAGAAACAAGCGAATTATTCTTTCATTGTAGCAAAGTAGATAAAAAGTGCTTTCACTAACATGCCCCTTTACATTGCCAGTTTGTTTTCAGAAAGTATTTCTCACCTTTTGGCATCCGGGTAAGTGGTGGATCACAACACTCCATGTGAAAACCTCGGTCACAGGAATCACAAAAGAGCATGTTATCCTAAAAAAAGAGAAAGGACAGTTCTGCTTAACCTTCTGAAACAGAAACATGTCAGGATCATGACTTCATAAAACCTATGAAGTTTCAAAAATCTCATAAAGGAGATGAGTTACCATAATAGTAAAAGTTTCCTTAATTTGTATAAACTGAGTACAGACAGCCCTCGGTATCTGCGGATTCAGATTCCGACTAATGGACTTGAGCATCGTGGAGTTTAGTATCCGCAGGGGGTCCTGGAACCAATTCTCAGCAGATATCGAGGAACAACCGTAAATGGACAGTCTGAGTTAGCAGAAAGGTTTGTTTCACCCAATCTTTACTAAAGAACTACAGTTTCATTACTTTGAAGTTTATCCAGTAACCAGATGTAAGCTAAATTTAGTTATTTTAATAAAAAAGAGAAAAGGACAATTTGTAATTAATATACTGACAATTTCTAAATGAATGCCTCTATACTATTCAAACAAATTTCAGGAGTATGTCTTTAAAGTAGCTTACTCTTTCTGCAAATAGATAGCTAGGTGCTTTAGAAACTATTTGGAAATAATCCAAGTCTCAATGAGCAAGTATACTAAACTAATGATGTATAATTTAAAGAGGCTACTGTTCTAAATTCTGCTGGAGCATTACTGAAAAATAACCAACCATATTTAGAGGGAATGCCAGTTGTACCTTCTACATCTAAATGAAATATTCACAATGGAAGACAAAGATACTCACTGCATTTTTGCCTTGATCTCGACAGGAGCTGCACGTTTTACACTCAATGCACTGCCACCGTAAGGCCTTCACTCTAACCGTTAGTTCAGCGGAAAACTTTAAACAGGATGGATGACCTAATAAGAGGAAAAGTCACAAATGAAACAAGAATCATTTTGTAATTGTACTAAAAGAATAATGTAGAAAAAGGCAATTATCTTAAATCAAAACATATATCAAAGAAAACAAGATACTCCTGGAAGCTTGCCATATATGTCTCATCAGGACTTGGCACTCCAATTCAGTTTTACCAACGCTAAATAGAATTCTGTACATGCACACCTCCCAATTTGATTATAAAAAACTTCAAAAACTCCAAACTTTTATCAGGCCTGCATTAAAGCATTATGTGTATACCCTTGCTTGTATGGATATGGATACATAATATGCCCAGGTCATTCTGGAAAAATACACAAAAACTGTTTACAATTATAACATCCTAGGATATGGAGCTATAAACATTTCAAAGGAAAAGGATTTTACATTTCACTTTATACACTTCTGTGCTCTCATTTTTTTAATGTGTTACTTTTATAACTAAAAAAATATATAATAAAAATACCATCATTTAAAGCGAGTTATTTACTCATGATTTAAGGCACTTAAGCTAAAACTAAAACCTAAGCAGTATTTCTATTGTGACCAGAATTAATAGTAACAGAAAAAAACGTTTCCTCTTCCAAGAGTTATTATTAGTTTGTGTCTCAAAAATTTAGAGTAGCCAATTTGCCCTCAACTCTGAAAAGATTTGTCCCTTTCCTCTAAAAGTTAGTTATGTTTATTTTTCTTTGATGAGAGAAAGGGCTGGTTAAATTATCTTCTCTCCTCTCTCTTCTATTTCTAAATAACTTTCTCTTTTATGAGATGGGAAGAAGTTTATTACCAAAACATCACTGACATCAAAGGAAAATGGGAGAGAAGATGTAAAAATCTCATTCATAATCACATCATCCTGGAACAGCCATTTTCATGTTCTGGTTTTCCTTTTTCAATTCGCTAAAAGCCCTTGCATAGTTTTAATTATAGGGTATATACATTTTTGTTTGGCTTTTCTTCCTTATTTTATTCAAGTAAATTTTATATTTATATTCCTTAAACTGATTATATTCCACTAAGTTGATATACTAAACCTACCTGACCATGTCCCCATTGTTAAATACTTAGCCTATTACCCACAACAGTTAGAATACTAAAATGAATTATTTCATATGTTTAGAGATGCTTTCCTTCTTTTAAATTAATTCCTTAGAATGAATTCCTAAAAGTGGGGGTGGTAAGTGAAATGAAATAAGCATTTTTATAGCTTGAGAGGTCGACATACACTGCCAAAACATGTTCCAAACCCTATGACATAATACCCAGTGCCACCAGCAAAGTATAAATGTGTTACCAGAATTTCGTCAGCTCTAGATGTGGGCTCTCTTACCTTTCAAGTTTTATTACTATAAAAGCTATCACAGGACACTTCACTGCTGCTGTGGTGTGCATTCCTATGATTACCTGAGTAAACTGTTTTTTACAGGCTCAACTATTAACTTTCTCTTCTATAAGCTACCTCTTCATAGGCTCTGCCCCTTGGACTTTATGCTTAGAAATGTAAACATGTTCTTTATACTTTATAGCTTTTGGTCCTTTGCCATATTTAATGCAATTATTTTCCCCAAATGATTTTTGCTTTTTTAAATTTTGGGTATTTTAGTTCTCAATTTGGAAAATATGCAATTTCACATACTTGACTATGTCCATACTTTTCCCCCTTGGTTATTATGATAACCAGGCTCCAAGTTGCCCTAAAGTTATTCTTGCTTCCTGGTAAGAATACCAATTCACACCCTTATGTAATTCCCTCCCACGATGAGGAGGGCTGATCTGTGTAACCAATAGGATACTGCTGAAATAACAAAGTGTGACTTCTAAGGCTAGATTATAAAAGATATTACAGATTCCACCTTGCTCTCTCTCTCAGATACCTGCTTGGGGGAATCCAGCTGCCATGTTGTGGACACTCATGCAACCCTATGAAGATGTCCACATGACAAAGAACCGAGGCTTCCTGTCAACAGGCAGCATTAACTTGCCAGTCAGATAAGTGAGTCATCATGGAAGACTTTGGATGACTGAAGCATCAACTGAAATCTTGACTGCAATCACATGAAAGAACCCAAGTCAAAACTACCCAGGTAAGCCACTCCCAAATTCCTGCCCACAGAAACAACACGAAATAAAAATGTTTGTTGTTGCTTTTAGCTGCTAAGTTTGGAGTAATTTATTTCTACGGCAATAGACAACAAATAGTTATTTATTCTACTAGTTCTTTAAAAGTTCCCTCTAGAGTAATAATTTTCAAATTGCACTCTTCCCTATGTTACAGAAATTCAGAGACCACCTCAGATATACTGCGTCACAGAAGGTAGGGCTATAACACAGCCCTCCTCTACACCCCCATTCCATTCCCATCTCACCTACAGCAGATTCATTTTTATGTTTTATACATTTGGGTTCCCATAAGATTTCCTAAGGATTCCACTAACTAAAACAGTTTGTAAATTGCTGTATCGTACAACATGTCATTATTTTTTTATCTAATCTTTTATGATTTTATGGTTGATATTTAACTGTGAAATCTACCCAAAGTTCATTTTGCTTTGTGATATTATGCTAGATATGGTCACCTACCACTCAAGATCTCTTCCCACCTTCTTCTAATGCCTTCTATATATAAAAACTGAAAAAGTAAAAACTATACTCCCTAGACTCCTTTGCAGTTAGGCTCTAGACATGAATTAAGTTCTACCAATTGGATGTGTTTGACTGACGTTTGAAAGACAGAAATGAAACAAAGACCTTCTTCCTCTTGTACTGACAGTTTTCTAATGATAAGCAAAGTCATAAAAAAGCCAGTATATGCTCTTCACCTTCATGGCTCTCCAGAGGCAGTTGTGATGATGGCCAAATTCAGAGTTTCTGTATTCAGCTACAGAACTCAATAATTCCACAGTGGCCTCCCACCACTTGCACCTCTTCCAGATGGAGGCAGATACAGTGACTCCCCTTGTGGGTCAGTTCTGCAATGTCCCAAGACTCAGTCCTTAAGGACCCACCTACAGCTTGCCTCTTCAGTCCTTCTAACAATTTCACAAATGCCTGATTCTAATTTCCTTTCCTCTTGAAGCAGCTAGTATGTCTTCCGGTTTCTGGACTAAATCCTGATTGTCATTGATATAAAACACTGAAAATTAAGCCTATGATCAAAGATAATTGTGGTTTACTAACGCCTTCCTGCAAAGCCTTGTAAGTTCTCAAAGCGCAGGCCAAGAGTACCTCTGGAATTGACAAATTATGAGACTCTTTGCAAAATCTCTTTTAGAGCCCAGAATTTCACACAGCTCACTAAATTGCAGTGTCAACACTCTACTTCCCAATGTGACATATGTAAGTTTCTATCAAGAAAAACAAATCTGTTATCATCCTGGTTCTATTAAGTCTATGTAAAGCTTTTTATTAAAAAAAACAAAACTAAGTGATGTCAGCATCATGGCAGAATATGCTCCTCCCTTAGACTCTCCCCACTAAGACACAACACAAAGGACATTCATAAACCAACAGAGGACATTTACACAACACAACAGACATTTGAGAGACCCACACAGCCATATGTCTGAAGGTGGAGGTGCTGGAGCCCCTGGGAAGAAGTGGAAGGAAGTAAAAGGATCTCCTCTCCCTCCCCAGCAGCGACCTACGGCACAGGACTGCACAAAGCTCTGAAAGGAGAGGGCGGAAGGGCAGCCCTCCATAGGAACGTCTTTACTCTTCAAATTGCCTCCCAGCCATGGGAAATCTCCACACAGAGGAGGTTAAGCCATTGCAGGGGTGTCTTCACCAAGCCAGCACCCCAGGAGGGCAAATAGCAAGGGCAGAGTGAGAACGCCCCCAGGATCACACACACGAAGGAAAGTGCCCCACTCCCCGCACCAGCTCAGCTAGTTGGCCAGAGCAAGGGACCCCCACCAGAGCACCTGCTCATACATTACTAAAGCAGCAGCTGCCAGCAAGCAACTGAAGACGGACCCTGTCAGCATAGATTCCAAAAGACAAGCACAGATGCCAGAGATTGTGGGAGGCTCAGAATATACAGCTCCTGCCTTCCATCACCCAGTGGAGGTGGGTGGAATCTGAGATCAGATACTACCAATATGCAAATGCACAAGTCCACCCCATCAAATAATATGAGGAGACAAATTAATATCAGCTCTGTTATTCAAGGACTCCAGATTTTCCTTTATCTCATTCATTGTGTTTTTCATCTCCAACATTTCTCTTTGGTTTTCTTTATAGTTTCAATCTCTTTTGTGGAGTATTGCCTCCGTTCAAGAAGAAGTGAGTTGGAGAACAGAAATACAGAAATGCTTCTGATGGAGGAGGATAGAGAACTAAGGCTAAAAAGAAATGAAGAAATTCTCTGAAAAATATCCAACTCAATTAGGAAATGCAACATAAGGATTATAGGTATCCCAGACAGAGATGTAAGGGAGAAAGGAACAGAAAGCTTGTTCAAAGAAATAATAGCTGAGAACTTCCCAAACCTGCGGAAGGGCCTGGAAGTACACATAAACGAAGATAATAGAATTCCTAATTACGTTAGTGTAAAAAGACCTTCTCCAAGGTATATAGTAGTAAAACTGGCAAAAGTCAATGACAAAAATCATTAAGGGCAGCAAGGCAGAAGAAAGCAACCTACAAAGGAACCCCTATCAGGCTTTTAGCGGATTTCTCAGCAGAATCCTTACAGCCTAGGAGAGAGTGGAATGATATATTCAAAATTCTGAAAGACAAAAACTTTCAGCCAAGAAAACTCTATCCAGTGAAAATATCCTTCAGATATGATGGAGAAATAAAAACTTCCCAGATAAACAAAAGCTGAGAGAGTTCATCACCACAAGACACCCCCCCAGACCCCACTTACAATAAATGATCAAGAAGGCCCTCATACCTGAAAAAAACAGAAAGGGTTTACAAAGCCTTGAGCAAGGAGATAAACAGACAAAATCAGGAAGTTGCAACGCTCTATAGAACAGGTTAGCAAACACTTAATTATAACATTAAAGATAAAAGGAAGGAAAACATCAAGACTAAATATAATCACTTCATTTTAACCACAAACTCACAACACAAAATGGAATAAGTTGCGACAACAATAACTTGGAAGGGGAAGAGGAGAGGGATGGAACTTGCTTAGACTAAAAAAATAATAAGCTATGAGAAAAAATGGACTATCTCTTCCATGAGACTTTTTATACAAATCTCACGGTAACCACTAAACAAATAATCAGAACAGAGACACAAATGATAAAGAGAAAACTGAGAAAACCATCCTAGAGAACTACCAAACCACCAGACTGAACCGGCACTATGAAAAACATGGGATGAGAAACAAGGGAAATACAGAACAACCAGAAAACAAGTGATAAAATGGTAGCATTAAGCCTTCATATATCAATAGTCACTCTAAATGTAAATGGATTGAATTCTCCAATCAAAAGACACAGAGTGGCTCAATGGATTGAAAAACAAGACCCAACAGTATACTGCCTCTACGAAACACATCTCAGCTCTAAAGACAAACATAAGCTCAGAGTGAAGGGATGGAAGATGATACTCCAAGTTAATGGCAAACAAAAGAAAGCAGGTGTTGCCAGACTTCTATCAGACAAAGTTGACTTCAACATAAAAAGGCAATGAGAAAGAAAGAGGTGCAGTGTATAATGATAAAAGGAACATTCCACCTAGAAGACATAACACTTACAAATATATATGCACTAAACACAGAAGCACAAAAGTACATAAAGCAACTATTAACAAACCTAAAAGGAGGTATTAACAACAACACAATAATAGTAGGGGACCTTAACACGCCGCTTACATCAATGGATAAATCATCCAGATGGAAAGTCAACAAGGAAATAGTGGAATTAAACAAAAACTAGACCAGGTAGACTTAATAGGCATACACAGAACACTCCACACAAAAAGAGCAGAGTGCACATTCTTCTCAAGTGCACATGGAACATTCTCAAGGATAGATCATATGTTGGGAAACAAGGCCAGCCTCAATAAATTGAAGAAGACTGAAATCACATCAAGCATCTTTTCTGACCATAACATTATGGAACTAGAAATCAACTACAAGAAAAAAGCAGGGAAAGGGACAAAGATGTGGAAACTAAACAACATGCTACTGAACAACCAATGGATCACTGGAGAAATTAAAGGAGAAATCAAAAAATACCTGGAGATAAAGGAAAATGAAAATACACCATACCAACTCATACGCGATGCAGCAAAAGCAGTCCAAAGAGGGAAAATCATAGCAATACAGGCCCACCTTAACAAACAGGAAAAATCTCAAACAAGCAATCGTAAACTACACCTAACAGAATTAGAAAAAGAACAACAAACAAAACCCTAAGCCAGCAGAAGGAGGTAAATAATAAAAGTTAGAGCAGAAAAAAATGAAATTGAAACAAACAAAAAACAGTAGAAAAGGATCAATGAAACAAAGAGCTGTTTCTTTGAGCAGATAAACTAAACTGACAAACCCTTACCTTAGCCAGACTTACCAAGAAAAAAAGAGAGAAGGCTCAAATAAATAAAAATAGAAATGAAAGAGGAGACATTACAACAGACACCACAGAAATACAGAGGATTATAAGAGAATACTATGAAAAACTATATGCCAACAAACCAGACAATCTAGAAGAAATGGATAAATTCTTAGACTCATACAACCCCCAAAAACTAAATCAAGAAGAAAGAGCCAATCTAAATAGACCAATCACAAATGAAAAGATTGAAACAGTAATCAAAAACCTGCCCAAAAATAAAAGTTCAGGACCAGATGGCTTCTCTGGAGAATTCTACCAAACATTCAAAGATTTAATACTTATCCTTCTCAAACTATTCCAAAAAGATGAAGAAGACAGAACACTTCCTAACATATTTTACAAGGGCAAAATCACCCTGATCCCAAAGCCAGACAAGGACAACACAAAGAAGGAAAGTGACAAGCCAATATCACTGATGAACATAGATGCAAAAATCCTCAACAAAATATTGGCAAACCAAATACAGCAATATATTAAAAGGATAATACACCATGATCAAGTGAGATTTATACCAGGGACACAGGGATGGTTCAACATCCAGAGATCAATGCGATACACCACATTAACAAAATGAGGAATAAGAACCACATGATCATCTCAATAGATGCAGAGAAAGTGTTTGACAAGATCCAACATCCACCTTTGATAAAAACTCTCAATAGAATGGGTATAGAAGGAAAGTACCTCAACATAATAAAGGCCATATATGACACACCCACAGCCAACATTATACTCAACAAGGAAAAAGTGAAAGCCTTCCCTCTGAGAATAGGACCAAGACAAGGATGCCCACTCTCACCACTCTGATTCAACATAGTACTGGAGGTTTTGGCCAGAGAAATTAGGCAAGAAAAAGAAATAAAAGGAATCCAAATAGGCAATGAAGAAATGAAACTCTTGCCATTTGCAGACGACATGATTTTATATATAGAAAACCCTAAAGAATCCATCAGAAAACTATTAGAAATAATCAACAACTACAGCAAAGTTGAGGGATGTAAAATCAACTGACAAAAATCAGTTCCATTTCTATACTCTAATAACAAACTAACAGAAAGAGAACTCAAGGATATAATCACATTTACAATTGCAACAAAAAGAATAAAATATCTAGGAATAAATTTAACCAAGGAGGTGAAAGACATATACAATGAAAACTACAAGACATTACTGAAAGAAATTGATGATGACCTAAAGAAATGGAAAGCTATTCCATACACATGGATTGGAAGAATAAATACAATTAAAATGTCCATACTACCTAAAGCAATCTACAGATTCAATGCAATCCCAATCAGAATCCCAATATCCCAATGACATTCTTCACGGCATTAGAGCAAAGAATCCTAAAATTCATAGGGAGAGACAAAACACCCTCAATAGCTATCCTGAGAAAAAAGAACAAAGCTGGACCCATCACAATCCCTGACTTCAAAATATATTACAAAGCTGCAGTAATTAAAACAGGATGGTACTGCACAAAAACAGGCACACATATCAATGGAAGAGAATTGAAAGCCCAGAAATAAAACCACACATAAACGGACAGCTAATCTTCAATAAAGGAGCTAAGAACACACAATGAAGAAAGGAAAGTCTCTTCAGTAAATGGTGCTGGCAAAACTGGACAACCACTTGCAAAAGAATGAAAGTAGACCATTATCTTTCACCATACACAAAAATTAACTCAAAATGGATCAAAGACTTGAAGGTAAGACTTGAAACCATAAAACCCCTCCCAAAAGAAAATACACATAGTCCACTCTTTGACATAGGTCCTAGAAGGATCTTTTCGGATAGCATGTCTACTCAGACAAGGGAAACAAAAAAATAAACAAGTGGGACTTCATCAGACTAAAGAGCTTCAGCAAGGCAAAGGAAACCAGGAACAAAACAAAAAGACAACCCACCAACTGGGGTAAAATATTTGCAAATCATATATCCAACAAGGGGTTAATCTCCATAATATAAAGAACTCACACAACTGAACAACAAAAACACAAACAACCCAATCAAAAAATGGGCAGAGGATATGAGCAGACATTTTTCTAAAGAAGATATACAGATGGCCAATAGGCACATGAAAAGATGTTCAACATCACTAATCATCAGGGAAATGCAAACCAAAACTACACTAAGATATTACCTGACACCCATTAGAATGGCTATAGTCACCAAGACAAAAAATAACAAATGTTGGAGAGGATGTGGAGAAAAGGGAACCTTCATAGACCACTGATGTGAATGCAAACCGGTGCACTATGGGAAACAGTATGGAGATTTCTCAAAAAATTAAAAATAGAAATACCATATACCCAGCTATCCCACTACTAGGTATTTATTCAAAGAACTTGAGCAATTCAAAGAGACTTATGCACCCCTATGTTGACTGCAGCATTATTCAAAATAGCCAAGATGACGGAAGCAATCCAAGCGCCCATCAACTGATGAATGGATAAAGATGTGGTATACATATATACAATGGAATACTACTGAGCAATAAAAAAAGACAAAATTGTCTCATTCGCAACAACATGGATGGCTCTTGAGGCTATTATGTTAAGTGAAACAGGTCAGACAGAGAAAGACACACACTGTATGATTTCATTCATACGTGGAATATAAACTAATACATGGACAAAGAGAACAGATTAGTGGTTACCAGAGGGGAAGGGGTTCAGTGGTGGGGATAAAGAGTAAAGGGGCAAGTACATTTATATGATGACTGACAAATAATAATGTACAACTGAAATTTCACAATGTTATAAAGTACTACGACCGCAATAAATTTTTCTTTAAAACCCTTTGTTAAAAGCCCATTAAAGACCTCAGAGGAAAAAAATAAAAACAAAATTAAAAATTGAGGAAAGAAAACCCTATGAGTTGATTAAAATTAACTGAATAAAACATTTCAACTATACATTTAAATCCTCCCTCACCTAGAAGCTCATCTCAGTTACCTAAAATTAGAACCAAATTAAAATATTACTTTCAAAAGGATGACAGATATAAATTCAGTTACACATACTTCCGTCATGCCTGACAGCACGTTTTAGAAAGAATACAGGGATCACGTACCACTGTTGCCACAGTCGGCACAAGAGATGAGTTCCTCTGGCTTCTTTTCTCTGTTTTGTTCTTTTGTACCAAGACAGAAACTACAGATGGGGATTGGTTCAGCAACCGGCTGTAAAGAAAAACACAATTAGTCAGGTACTATTACTTTTTTTAGTATTAATACAGAGTCACTAAAATTACAGTTTTAAATTCCTGTAAGAGTGACATGTAACTTTAGGACAAGTCTATCATTCTCCTAAATTTCCAACCAAGTAGCTGAGGTTTTAGAAAGTCTGCTTTGGCTGGACCTTTACAACTGGTCCTTGCAGTGACAACTTTGGTCCAAAAAGTCATATCCCAATCATGCTGCTCTCTTAAAAACTAAATGACACAGTATGGCTTAAACACAGCAAATCCTTCACCTAAGACTGAAAAATTCAATTAAATTAAGTGCAAGAAATCACAGTATCAGCCCTTAAAAAGCATGTGATATAGGAGAAAAGTGATAAGATGTATACAAATAAGCATTATGTAAGGCCAAAGACATTAAGTGCTATAAGAGAGAAACAGTAAGTGCTCTGTATAAGAGGGAAAGATAAAATTCCAATTGTGGTTTGGAGGAGAGAGGTTGAAAAAGGAAGACAACATGTATTAACTGCCAGTATTGTGTTATGGGATCTTAAGAAGTTTGTCCAGGGACAATAGATAATAATTGATAAAAGCAGGCTTAAACCTACAGCACTAGCCACCCCTCCCGCCCCCCCCCAAAGGAGGAAGATAAACACAATACGGGTATTATAAACAAGATGAACTTAAGTGTGCAGTCCGCTAAGGCCAGTGCTTAAAGGATATAGTTTCTGTGATAAGGAGTGGGGTGGGGAATAGGGAGAGGGGGAGAAGCTAGATCAGTTTGTGAAGGTTGCCACCAAATGTCTTGTAAAGAAGTTGGACTTTATCCTGCAGAAAAAGAACAATAACAGAAGGTTACTGAACCAAGAGATGATCACTTGTATATGAGAAAAATAATCCCAGTAGCAAAGTCAAAGACAAACAGTGGAAAACCTGAAGATAGGTAGAACATTTAAACAGTGATTCCAATAGTCTGAAGACAAGATAAGAACCTGAACCAAAACTAAGGAAATGGAATAGAAAGAATAGCTATGGACTTAGAAAACAACTAGTTGTGGAAGTGATAGAAAAGGAAATGAGTTACACAACTAACTCAACTGAAAATGGCAACATCAACTGTGAAAGGTAAGTCATTTTAAAGAAGAAAATGAAGAGGAAAGCAAAGAGATGACAAGTTTGATTTTGATGTGTTTAGTGGGAGGTACTCTCGGTCAACTCTCACCTATTTACGCTAGGCATTGTGCAGTATAGCAATATAAAGCCCTCAAGATGCTTTTAGTCTACTGGGGAGAATAGATAAAATGTTCGTATGTACCATGATAGAAGTATTACAAAGGCAGGCAAAGGAGGAAGTGATCAAGTAGGGGAAAGGGATGACAGGAAAGGCTTCACAGACTTAAGTTCTTCTGGAGGTATTTGACAGGCAGGCCCACCTGATGGGGGCATTCAAAGAAAATAAAGAAACGGGTTTTGGTGGGGCGGGGGAGGGAGGATGAGCTTAGTCTGGGACTTACTGAGCTTAAAATGCTCATGGAACATCCATGTAGCAATGTCCATGGACATTATGATATAGGGATCTAGAGTCAAGAGAAAGGTCTGGAAGTAAAAACCTAGGATTCGTAGACATACAAAATGGCATTGAGGTCATGAAAGCTGATGAGTTCTCATGTGGAGAACAGGTGGAAAGAAGGAGTTAAGATCAGAACACCAATGCGACTGGCAGAGGAAAAAGCCTGAAAAGGAAACACGGTAGTGAGACAGTTGGATGATATATCAATATGGAAATCTCCAACACAAGCAAAGTAACAGTACTGCACAGTCAAGGATTAAATGAGAGATGAACGGCTGGAAGTTGTCTTAATAACTGTGGCTGTAGTAAAGATGACCACATCCTTTCTTTAAAAAGGAATATGGAAAAGAACCAGGGAGTAAAGTCAGGAAAGACTTCATTCAAGAGTAGGAACTTGAAGTAAACTCTAAAGAAGACCGAGAAAGAAGGCAGAAGCAAGTCACGAGGTCTGAGCTTTATGTTGCAGACTCTAAGAACCAGTAGAAGATTTTAAGAAGAGGAATGATACGACCAAGACTTAAATTTTAGAAAAGTCACTCTATAAGCAGTTGAAAATGGACTGGAAGGGATATGATTACAACCCAGGCCACGAGTAATGAAGCCCTGAATTAAGGAACTGACAACAGAAATGGAGAAGAGAGAGAAAAGATATTTAAAAGACAGAACTGGAGGGATCTTACGGTTAATCAATTTGGGGTGGGGAGCACAGTAAGAAAGATGATGTCTAGAAAGACACCATTAAAGTGAAAAGGCAAGCCACAGAATGGCAGATCCTAACAACATATTTAACTGACAAATGGCTCATATCCAGAATATATAAAGAACTCTTACATGTCAGTAAGAAAGAGACAGAAAACTCAATAGAAAACTAGGCAAAAGATTTCAAGAGGTACCTCACAACAGAAAATACATGAATAATATGTAAACAGCCAACAAACATAAGAAAAGATGCTGAACCTGAGTAGCCATCAAGGAAGCAGATCTTCAAGGATGGGTACAATTATGAAGATTGGCAATAGTGAGCGTTGATAAGAAAGAGGAACAACAGAAACTGCTGACAGAAATACAAATCAACAAAACCACTCTGAAAACTATTTCACATTATCTACTAAAATTAAACATAGGCATACCATATGATCCAGCACTCCCACTGTAAGCTATATACCCAAATGGAGTACATACACACAAATACAATAAAACATACATAAAAATTATCAGAGCAGCATTATTCATAATAAACAGTAATAAAAAAACAAATGACAGTCAACAACATGGATGAATATCACAAACACTGAACGAAAGAACAGACATAAAAGAATACATACTGTTATCATTTTACTTATATCAAGTTCAAAAACAGTTCTACACTGTTATCAAGTCAGGGTAGTGGTTACCTTTAGGGAGAAAGGAAGAGGTGGTGAGTTGGAAAGGGACTTCTGAGGTATTGGTAATGTTCTTGTTCTTGACCTGAATGGTGGTTTCATGGATGTTAATAAAGTAATAATTAAGGTATACACTTACAATCTGTGCACCTTTCTGTATGTATATTTTAATTAGAAAGTTAAATTTAAATTAATGAACATCTATGGAGTAGGACTGTGATGCCTTTGGAATATTCTGAAAGAAATAGCAATGGTGATTTGGACATCGGAGTTTGGAACTTAGAAGAGAGAACAGGCTAGAGACAGATCTAAAAGACATCAACATACAGATGATAAGTGACAGCACCCAATGAGAAGGTGGAGTGGAGCGGAGTAGGTAGAAAGGGTAGAGAGTAATGAAGGGAAGGGGAGAAGTTAGATGAAGTCTGATATAGAAGAATATCAACATTTAGAACCATCAGAGGAAAAAAAGGAGATCGGAAGGGACCCATACGAGAAAAAATAGAACCAAGAGAAGTAATGACACAAGAATTTCAAGAAGCAGAGAGCAATCAACCATCAATGTTGGGAAGATAAAGTAGCTACTGGATTCTACAACTGAAAAACAGTTGGAGACCTCACTGAGAGAGAGCACTTTTCAGTGACAGGCTAAGAACTCAAGTCATAGGAACCAACAAACTGCCATGAAGGGACAGAGCAGACAGGAGACAGCTACAAAGAAATGCCAAAGGGTTTTAATGCGTTCTAGGTAGTCAAGATGAAAAAGACTAAATCTATTTAATTGTGGAAGACAAGACATGCATGGTCAAAGAGATTCAAGAACAAATAACAGGAACATATTAGATAGTAAAGTTTAGAATTGCACTGTTCATTATGGTAGGCACCACAAAACATGGCTATTTAAATTTAAAATTAAATTAAATAAACTTAACTCCTTAGCCACACTAGCTACATTTCAAGCGCTCAATAGTCACACGTGACGAACGGTTACGGTACTGGGTGGCACAAATATAGAACAATCCCATCATTACAGAAAATTCCATTTGATAACACTGGTTTAGAAAAGAGGATGGATTTTAAAGCATGGGTAAAGGGACTGTTCTTAGTAGTAGAGGATGATGTAATGCATATTGTTTGCAGGTAGGATGGTGGGAATGGGGAAAAAGTTGAGGGTGCTCATTTCTGATAGCCTCATTATTTCTGGAAAATAGGAAATACAATCACCTGCTAAAAGTGGGGCAGGGATTGGCCAGATAGAGCATGAGAAAAGCAACAGATGACTGAGAAAACTGAGAGGTGAGACTGGCTGTGTCCAAGAACTGAGATAGTGAAAATATCCTCCTCTCAAAATGGAAAGTAGACACACATTCCTCAGGCAAGACAGAATCAGAAAAGTATGTATGAACATAGAGAATAAATTCAAAGTACAAGAGAAAAGTTGATGGAGTCCCTGCAGAATGGTCTCTTTCTTTTTACTAAAATACAAGTTAACGTCACTTGCTTAAAGAGAAGTAGATAGGTATGGGTTTGTACATTTACAAAGATCAGAAGACACCTGGAAGTCTCTGTGTAGAAGGTGACAGGGAATCAATTAGTGATGTAAAACAAAACTGTCAATCACTCCTAACCACGAAGCTAAGTTGAGAAAGAATCAATTTGTAGTTTTTTCTAATCAAAATGGTTATACAACTTTCCCTGACAACTCTGAAGTCTTGGGCTGACAAAATCAGAAAGCTGTAGATTGACAAGATAACCCAAAAGGCGAAGCCCACTAAAATGAAAATACAAATATTTCTACAATAGTGGGCCGCAAAGTTGAGGCTGGACATCATAAAGAGCAGGGGGCTGACAAATTGAAAGTATAAGGAGTTAAGGTACCACTGGGATCCTGAAGAATGGAAATAGAGGTCCAGTAAAAGGACTGGAAAAGGAGAAGAACTGAAGACTGTGATCAGCGGAACTTTGGAGTTTGTTATTTCGTAAGAATAAAGCTCTAGCTAATAAAGGAAATCCCAAATAGCAAATGTGCATGAATTCTTTAATATTTAG